TAGTCGTCCTAATTTTTTGATTCCGTTCCTCGGGCCTCCGCGCCTCCCATTGTGAAAAATTTAACTCGCTGCAATTTACTAAATGGCGAAAGCACTGTCACAGATGCGCCGTTTTAAACAGATTAATGATAATGAAATAAAAAGGTCCGAGCGACGTTCGGATAGACCGTATCTAGATGTCTCCAACTATATTTTGTTCCTTTTGCCCTAGTTAATATGCGAGAACAATTGCTAAACGCGAGTGACAAACGGCATTTAGTCACCGACAAGAGTCAAGGCGCACCAATTTAAAATTAAATTAAAAAATTATCTTGATTCCAACACCGCATGCAGATAGGTTTTGTTCCGTACGGCTCTTTCAACACAGTGCCAAAATCCTTACGTTGCACCGATGTCATTTAATTTTTTTGGTAATTAATAAATGAATAATAATAAATAAAATAAATATTTTATGCTGTAATAATAGTTAACAATTATATTTGGGTTTATCTGTAATCTATTTCTTTTTTCTAACTGTACGCGTTGCATTACAAATTTAAATTTTTTGATCTTAGAGAGCAGGATAAGGGTTTTAAAATTTGACATAATGTATATTGTAATACTTTTTACAAAACTTCTGAATTACTTCTGCCTCGGTTTTTGCTGGGTCGAAATGGCTGACGTTTTACCAATCATCCTGTTGACTTTTTCAGAGCTGAAACTGAAACTGGCTCGCATTTTACTCTGTACTTGCTTATATATTTTTTGAGGGGGGCGGAGCTAAATGAGGGGCATAAACATCGTCTCGGATGACTGAGTCCCACATTGGTGACAGGTAAAGACCTAAGTAGCGGTTAAGATTGCTAGGTTGTTTATAGCGACCCTGGGATTTTTCGTTAGTAGAAGAATTGATTACATGCAACAATTCAAGTTTTATCGAATAAAATTTTATGTCCATGCATAAAGGTATCGGTGTGTGCGTAGGTTTTCTGTGAACACCATGACCTAATGTTAGAGAGATATGAACAAGTCTTGAAGGAATGTTAGGAGAGACCGGACGAAAAATATCTACTAGGCTCAAAGAACATCATGAAAGAGCCTTAAGACCTTAGTTTTAACAAATAAACTTATAAGCAGTTGCCAAACACAATCACGAAACTGGATGTAAAATTTAATTCGTTAAAACTAAAATTCTTGCATGTAATCAGTTCTTCTACCAACGAAAAATACGAGAGTCTATAGAAATCTATAAACAACCTAACAATCTTAACCGCAGATCAGGTCTCTACCTGTCACCAATATGTCATGCGAGATGGTGTTTTTGCAACTCATTTAGCTCCGCCCAATAAACACTGTTTAAAGTGTTTTCGGAGCTCGAGCATTGTGAGATCTTGGCGAAACGTCTGCAGGATTCCAGTCGGAGTTCAACAAGCGAACGGATGATATCCCGGAATATATTCTCAACATATAAATAAATAAATTATATATATATATATATATATATATATATATATATATATATATATATATATATATATATATATATATATATATATATATATATATATATATATATATATATATATATATATATATATATATATATATATATATATATATATATATATATATATATATATATATATATATATACTTTCACGTATTGATTCACGGATGGAAAAATGTGATGACACTATATTCCGGGATATCATCCGTTCGCTTGTTGAACTCCGACTCGAATCCTGCATCCGACTGGAATCCTGCAGACGTTTCGCCAAAATCTCACTTGGCATCTTCAATGCTAGCGCTCCGCTCCAGTGTTCGAAGTGTTTTCGGAGTATTTAAGACCGGACGTTTGCTAATATATATATATATATATATATATATATATATATATATATATATATATATATATATATATATATATATATATATATATATATATATATATGTCTTCTTTGTGTTTATGTTTAATGCGTACTGTTGGCTAATTTCAGTTATACATGTCATCGGTGTTTTTAAGCCTTCTAGAATGTCTGCGAATATCAATGCTTCGTCTGCGTATCTGATGTTATTCAAACGTTGGCCGTTAATTCTTCATCACATCATTCCAAGGCTTGTTTGAAGATATGTTCGATGTAAACATTAAACAGCATGGGCGACACGCTCTATTGAACTGGTTGTCGACTCTTACGTTAGCATTTTGGCTATAGTAAATATTTTTGATGATTCTCAGATCTTTATCATCTATGCCAACCTCTCTGAGCAGTGATAGGTAATAGAAGTTCGGCTTAGTAACTTAAGCTTAGTAAAATCCTATGATTTCTATGTTTGTATTTATTACTCACTATACTCCTTTTCATCATTTTCATTGGCGTTGATATTTTAAAACTAGGTTTATTGTCATCAAAGGTTCCTAAACATAAACCTTCATAAAAATACCTTTCACCAATTTTAATGGTTTTTATTTTTTCTATAGAAAAAGGGTCAAATGCCAAAAAAGTAATAATTTTTGTGGTTTATTCACTTGAAACACCTCCCTTATCCTGACACTTCAGTTAATAATTTAGCGGTTTAATTTTTCTCCGAAAAATTACGTGTATTGCCAACAAGAGTATAGTGGCAAAAATTATACATATCACTTGGGAACTGACATAATAAATAAAGTGAGTCGAATTGATTCAATAAAAAGGGGAATAACTAAGTTTGTTCAAAATATAGTCACAGCTGATTTTTTCTTGATTTTTTTTTTATAACTTTGGTTAATATTATTATTACTTATTACATAAATTACGATTTCAGACCATAAGAATAACCAAAACCGATCAATAGGGCTACTAAAAACAAACTAAAATTAATGAGTTTTGGCACTGATATCTCGTTTTCCTTAAAAATGTGACAAACCTGGTATGACATGCCTTAATCTTCTTTTGCCGATGATTTAAAGATATACAGCCAGATTGTTACCATGTCAAATTGTCATCAGCTACAGGAAACGATTAATATTTTAAATTCATGTTGTGCTAATAATAACTTGGAAGAAATGAATTCTAAGTTTGTCCTATAAAATTATTTCTTAAAAACTACACTTCACAATGACTAGAAGATAAGAACATGTTAGGTGGTGCAAGCAACGTTAATAATTGGACAGTATTAGCAGTGCAATGTAAACAATGTTCAATGAACAACCACACCGCTAACAAAATCTTCTATACAAAATTTTAACGCCTTTGAAAACTAATAGCTAACATATTTTTAATTTTTATTGCTTTTTGTTCTTTTTTATTTTTAAGTATTCCATTGCGAATATTAAAATCTAAATATTGAACTCATTGGCTAGATGCAAGTATTTTGGGTGAAATATGTATTTCTGTATTTTTTTTAATCGAAATTGTTCAAATAAGTTATTAAAATTTTTCTAGTTTTTAGTGTAGTGTTGTCCCGCCGTAAAAGATATACTATGATGTCACACTCAGTCGGTTCAAAGATCTTCCGTCAATCACCAATTTATAACAGGGCATTTAGTAAAACAAACAACGTACCCTCCGAACGAGGTAAAAACGTGCGTAGTTCCAACCTGGACGTGTCGCGAAATCCTTTTAAATTTCGTCCCCAGTCAGGGGTGTCAGGCACCACGGTCGGATCTAATGAGCCACCCGACCGGATTCACAATCACTATTAATGCTTCACTAAGTGGGAATAAAGTTTACACGCGTCACAACGGGCCAAAATTAGTATGCATCGTTCGTGGGACGAACGGGAGAGGAACGCGTCGGCCTAGCTGACCGTCCTTTGCCGAGAATTGAACTAACGATGTCACAAAGAGCAACGGTGCTTGATTTAAGGCGGGATACGGCGAGAATTTTAGGCCAATTTTCTGCCGGAGACACAGACTGTTCGTGAATAACAAGCAGCAGCGTTTAGAGGATGTAAATTAAGGGATGGATGAACCTCATTAATGGATGGAATTCGCGGAACTAGCTGAATTTTGAAAGAAAACAATATATAATAGCGCAATCGTGTGACGATTTTTTTAACGTCTGAAGTTGTCATGTAATCAACCCTTGACGCTGACAAGCTGTTAGAATAAAAAAAATAAATAAATGTACGTTAATATAATAACGGTTTTATATTAAATTTACTTAAACAGTTATTTATATTAGCAGTGCGGTATGAGGAATAATGTCACCACCAATATGTAACCACATGAGTACTGTGATGAACCTTACCGCACGTGTAACATACAATATTTTCTCAAGACCTAAACTTTACAATATTTTTTTATTTAAAATTGTAAAATATGTTAATTTTACACAATAGTCACTAATTCTAACTTATTACGTAACTGCAAATGGGAAAAAAATGCATTACGTAATATGTAATAATAGTGTGAGTAGTATTTATTGTAGTAGTAATATTGTAATGTAATCATGCTCTGCCCTAAATTAAGAACTTTATTGGATGTCTTTATCCATACGCAATTTTCTATTAACCATAAGCTTTTGCAACTTAATAACAAACATTAGTGAAATCAAGGCACATGTACCAGCTTGAGAAGTGCTGAGGTAATCCTTTTAATAACGATACTATTCTATCAAACTGTTTAAGCTAGCCAGTCCAGTCAACTTACTAATCTCAAAATTACTGTCGCCGTACAAGAAGAAATGGTATCGATAAAAGGCAGAAAGTAGCAGTCGAGGTAACAGTAATACCAATAAGAATAGAATGTATCTCACCATGTCTAAAAATAAATATAAAATAATTTCTTTCTCTCGACGCCGGGCAAGCAGCTCGGCAACGTTTATTAGTCGTTTTGATTACATCTTCCTGGCCTTTATTGGCTACTTACTTTTACTCAATTGAAGCAATCAGATATTGCGACTTTCGAAATTTAGTCCATGCGTAATAATACGCTTATCACGATTCTTTTGCACAGTCCATAAAATTCATTTATTTTCTATTTGTTTTTCAAAATCTGAGAGCACATTTAGGACCATAAAGGCAATGCAGCAAAGGCTTACCTGCTTGATGGAACTGGGACTCCTGGCATGAAGAATTGTTTTCACTGGGTGGAAGACCGAAATCGGTTCTGCGCCTCAGTGTCGCTGGATGCAAAGATGGACCCCTGGGGGGGACCTCGGGAGGAGCCGGCTCGGGAGGTGATTCTTCATTTACATCTAAAATAGAACCTTTCGCTATAGCGATTTTGATTGCGTTTTAGACACAGCTAACAACTAATAACGATCTGTTAAATTGGTTAAAAATTGAATATTTTCAAAACCAAAAATTTCCGTTTATAAGGTTATGAGCCGAGTAGTTTCAGAAACCTTTGAAAAACCCTGAAATTGATTTTTTAGCTGATTCGAGAAAGCGACAAACTCTTCTCTTTAATTGAGCTATGTCTTGTTGAAATAGTAAAGAATATCAACTCGAACACTCTTCGACATAGAAATAAGTTTAAATTTTAAGAGAATATTGAATTTTACTCTAATTTTTTTTGGCATTTATTTCCTGTATTTATCTATTATATAGCAATGGTCACCATTAATGAGAACCTGCATTAGAAAAGGAAAGCCCTATTGAGTTAAAGAGCTGACTATCGAAGAATTTTTTAACTTCCAGGAAGTTGCACACCCATTTAGACGAAAATTTACTAAGACCTAAACAGGAAAACATATTATGGAATGAATGAAATTCCCAGCGAAATATTTTACAGTAAAGTTTAAGACGAATATAATAAAATTGATTTATCTTCACAACGCATTTAAAGTTTTCAATATACCGTGAGAGAGAACCTAATAGAAAAAGTTCACCAACCCTTTGCTTTGGACATTTGCTCTTATTTTTTAATACCATATTATTATTTTGTACTATTATTCAGGTAAATGCTCGGGTAAATGCTAATAAAAAAGTCGTTAATAGCTTTCCTAAACGATGGCAGGTATAGTGCAAAAGTTCGATATTATTTAAAATCCTATAATTTTTAATATACTTTATACATAAGTATAACATCAGCAACGTATAAGTAAGTAAATTCTTCCAAATTTTCAAACACATACCCCTTACGGTGAGTTATTCGCACCCTTATTTATATAACACCATTGCTTTACGTTCTTTTTATTCGAAATCATGAAATTGTATGGCGTCATTGTATTAAATGTAAGATATCTTGCATGAAACTTTCAACTAACAAAACTGTTAAATTTTAACAAAATCCGCAAAAGATTCGTTGAGATATTAATAAAAAAAAGAATTCTTTCTTTGAGCAACTCTCTAAACTTAGTGACACAGATATACAGAGAGAGTGAGGGGGCTCCTGCTTCAATAAAATGTACACCTAAAACCTATTCGAAATATCAACCGAATAAGTGATGAATTTTGCAAATACATCTCTCATATTCTTCGATTTATATGATAATTACCTGAAAATATTCTTGAATCTGATACATAGCAGAATGTACAAAATGTTAGCAGATATCAGCGAAAAATCTTTGCATTGAACGTTCTTGTGCAGCATTACAAGACGTATGCTTTATCTATTAAAACAAAGCTGCTTAGAATAAGGAATCTAGACAACAGTAACATTAAAATCATTATGAAACTTTACTTCAGCGAGACAGCGGATCGAATAAATATCTGTAAAGATGTCAGCAAAGAATGCACGTTATCGCCAATGTAATTTAACTTTTACTAAGAGGAAATATTGAAACAATAAAGTAAATAACGCCAGTGATAAATACGAACTCTTGCTAAATCTATCAATTTTATGATTTTTTTCGAGACATCAAAATCAACTACAAAATATCAAAAAGTAACCTACAGAGCACTATAAAATGAATATGAAAAAATCAGAACACCAAAATAGAAGAAACAGGTCACTGTTAGAAGACGAAGACATCCACTGGTTAGTGAGATGTTGGTGAGATATTACGTATTGTCCGTACCATTCAATAGCATATAGGCATGGACCCTTAGAAGCGTGGAAATAAAAAGTCGGGAGGCATTCGAGCGAATATAACTAACGTTGAAGTTATCAGACGAATGCGCAAGGATAATAGATTACTATTTCAATAAAAAGGAAGGAATCTTGAGACTTGGGACACGTAATGAGGTAAGATGAGGACCATTTATTGCAACTCATATTGCTAGAAAAATTACGCGAATAGAGATACGTGGGAAAGAGGCATTCCTGATTGAGAAATCTATGGGATTAGCCGCCAAACTTCGCAACATAGAAGGCACGTAAACAAAAAGATCATCATTCTTTTAACTATTTATTAGTGTTTTGCCTTTAATTTCGTCCAATAAAATGTGCATTGCTACAAAACCTTTACACCTCAAACCATGAAAACAATAACCAATTAATTTGAGTGTTACAATTCGTTTCGAAGAAAAAATCATTTCACCAACATAATCTGTTCCAGATCCAGATTAGTCATTTCATACTACTCAAACACCTGATTTAGTAATGCGCAGGTCTGTATTTCGAATGCGTTCGCGATCCACTCCTCGCAAATAGATTATAGACGGTCGAGTATAATAGTTAGCATAGTTTCTTCGAATTCCGTTACTTTCTGAAGTAACTGTTTTAGACAAGACAAGACAAATTTTCATTCCCATTGACTTTTAACAAAGTATAGGATAATTTCATATGAAATGTGTTGTATTTTTTAACCCCAGTGGGAAATTTATTATAGAGTTTAACTGGTAAAACTATCGGGCTATTTGCTACCTTAGCCAGCCTGTGTCTAAGCAAATTCAAATTTAAATTGACTCTAAAATAATGTCTGGATGGAAGCTAAAATATTGAGAGACGGGAACGTTAATAAATTTAGTTTAGGAAATAATGTTTTGCAGGAGTATATGCATGACTTAAATAAAATAATTCTGAGTATTCTCTTTTCTGCTCTGAACACCTCACCGGCCCTGGCACAGTTACCCCAACACGCGATGGTATATGATAAGCAGGATTTTACGTAGTAATAATAGTAAAGTAACAAAAGCTGAACATCAACCTTATATCTCGATTGCCATACGATACGCATAAACCGACAGTTTTCTTAGTACTGCATCAACCTGAGTAGTCCGCGTAAAGTGACGTCAATAAAAACTCTCAGAGATTTCACAACTCTGGTTTGTTTAACCCTTTTATCAGGCCAAAAAGTATAATTTCTATTTTTGATTCATTTAAAGCAAGTCCATATTTAGCAACGTAATTACTAGGAAAATCCTACATAATGTTTTCAAAGAAAATTATGAACAAAAGCGGTCCCAGTATGCTTCCTTGAGGTACTCCACTGATAACTGGAATATAAGATGAACTAACCGAGTTTATATAACAATAACTAATTCCTCGCATCCCGCACTTATAGAATTTATCGAGCAGTATTTTATACTTATTACATCAAAAGCTCTCCTCCAATCAAAAAAGAGAACCATTCCACACCAGAGACTTACCATTCTCTTCAAAACGAGAAAAAAATATATATATAAAGCCGAATGGCCTTTCCGAAAACCAAATTGGTAATCACCTAAAAAATTTGCTTTGCTCAAAAATTATTCTAATATCCTCTAAAAATATTTTTCGAAGACTTTTGAGAAAACCGACAATAGACATATACCCCGGCAATTAGAAATCAAATGCCTGTCACCCCCCTTATGAATTGGGACTATAACCGTCTTTTTTGATGCATTGGGGAATTGTTAACATTGTTAAACCAAATCGGACGTGTTAGCTTTCTTTTTCTACTATCCGATGTTTCGACCACGCGTTAGTTTATTCAGGCAAAAAGCGGCGTATCGAGCCCGCAATATTCCGGACGGGATGATATTCTAAAAATATACGTTCCATTGTAACGTTATTTACACAGTATGGTATTAATTTTGTATAAATTTGCATGTTTTCGTATTTGCAGCGGTGCGCGATTCCGCGGCACTTTCATTAAAATTCATCAGTGTTTACTTATTCTCCCCCTACCCACACTGTGACAATTGCAGATCCTTTGTTAATTGTAAAATTAAGTTGCGAATGATTCTTTTAAATTATGCGACGGGACAACGCGGCTCTGACGAGGACCCTTTTAATTAAAATGTTATTTCACGAACGAAGTTGACTGCGATTATTTTATATTTGCATGCGTCATTAAAATTCTGCAGCGTCGTTCGAATTGCATACAGCATTATTACAAAATAAACGAAAAAATTTTGGTCTTTTTCCACGTTACTTTAATTGAATAATTAATAGGTTCCTTTAAAGGTATACAGGTAATCCCGCCAAGTACCTTAATTTATCCTCGTTCTGAGCTAATTTCACTTTCCCTTATGTTTTGTACCAAATGCATTACTATAATACGATAAAAAAATTTGAGCTGTGTTTTCCCAAATGTTAACTAAATAATTATTTTAAAGCGTTTGCTCTGTTTTATACGACAGCTGACATCGCACAACATCGACTTCTAGCGCCATGCACAAGCATGAGAACAAACCATTTACAACTGTTTTGCTCAGAACTATATATAATAAATACGCAATAAGATAGTAATGTAGTGCATATATAGTAGATTTTATGTTATTATCACGTTTGTAGATTCCTAGACTCACTTAAAAAGTATAGTATGCAACACGTTGATATATTTTTTCAGTTGGCTCCCGGTTTTAGACTTATTCTGTAAACGATTGAAAGAATGTTACGATGTATTTGATTAGTGTTATGGTGAAACCTCTTGCATTGATCAAATAAAAAATAAAAAATTTAATGCATTTTATTTGGAGATCCACCAGATGATGACTAAAACTCTTCTACTATCGGAAGTAACTACAGTTTAAAAAAAAACAATGAGGACACATTCTGCTCGACTCAATTTTATCTGGAAATGCACACTTATGGATCATAGAAATTTTTTTTATTATCGGTCCACTGTGGGGAGAATGGACTACTGCAACGCGCCCAGTCATTCAAGTTATTGCTTAGGCATCAATCTGTTTTCAACCTTCGATTTAGGTAATCGGAATGGACGAAAATAAATGCAGAAACTCCGTTGGTTTACTGTCGTTATATCATCTAGACCAGCTACTGGACTCAGTCACCTGCTATTAAGATCAGCGGTGAAGATAGAATTCAAGTATATTCGATGAAGTCAACATTCATGGAAGCGGTAGATGATGTTCATCACAGTAT